GACCCCATCAATACAGAAAACGAGACAGAGCCCTGAGAGCCGTGACCGGGGTATCATGACTGCTTCTCCTGGGAGCCCCTGTTGGGATTTATAGTCTGGCGGCAGTAACCACAACAGTAGGATCCACCTGGGAGTTCCTGAGTCTTCTAATAAGATATCTTTCACTCACATATTGAATTTTGAGACTTTTTAGTGCTTCACAGGGAGCTGCAGCCACCCTGACAGATGACTAAGTGACTGAGAAAAGGATGCTGAACCGCCTCCTGCTGACAAACAGACAAAAGGTTGCTCACTTCCCTGAAGCATCTCTGAATCAGATAAAGGCCGCATCGGAGAACCGACCGGGACTTCACAGTCTCGCAATCGTTTTTTTTTTTGTTTGTTTGGTTTTTTTTCAAAGTCCTCTAAATATAAAGATACATCACAGAAATGGGAGAGTGGCTAACACATCCCAGCAACATGTCACATCTCGTCTTCTTAACCTTGGCAATAGCTCTCCAGGCTTTCTGAAGGTCTTTGGCTGCTTTTTCCACTGACGTCCAGTCTCGTAATCAGAATCATCAAGGGAAGAAAACTTTCCTAAGAAAGTTCAGGCTGCGTGAAGAATAAAGATCGCCATACCAAATACTGACTTTCAAGCTCATTAGTGCTTAAAACTCTGTTTTTACCTTATATTCTGTATTTAAATCCATGTTTACATACATATTAATAAAGGTTTCCCATTTTCCTAGGAAGATATAAAGAACATTAACACAAATTCATCTTCCAAACTTGGAAACGGTTTAGGATAAACCAAGAAAATGTCTTTGCTTGTATTTTTTTGTAGCCTGTCTCACCCCGAGGAAGCGGATAACCTGAATTTGTTCACATGTTAAACCATGACTGTGGACATATTTTAACACTATAACTTTGACTATTGCACATTGTGCAAAGCACATGCTGGGAATGTTTTACCTCAAAGCTGGCTGAGCAACAACTCTTCCCATTGACTGTGTGTGTTTGTTTCTGTTTGTAGACCGGAAATAGTGCAAATATTATCCATATTATTAGATTGTATTGTATATTTAAACAAACTAAATTCACATGTGTAAATTTATGTTCCCAAACTGACCCTCACAAGTTTAAAAAAAAAAAAAAAAAGCATTTTCTCTTTTGTTGTTCATATTTTCTGCATATCTCAGTCCTATCGTGTGTTTCATTTAACTGCTATTATAAGACTTATAACTGTTTCTCTCATAAGGTCACTGACAAAATGACATTTTACTGGCTCAAAATATCATTCAAGCGCTATGTACACAAATGATGATAAGCACATGTGAGTTTAATCATATGATTGAGTGCAGTCCTTGGTGGCAGTGGTCATCAGGGCTCAATGACAGGCCGCAGCAAGGAAAACATCACATGACACAGACGGGCAGTTTACTGAAAATGGAAAATAAATGTGACACACTCTTCAGCCTGCTCATGTTTTATGTAGTGAAGAGGAGCAACATTTCAGCACTTGACGCCTTGATCAGTGTGGAGAGCAGAGCTGCCTGGGAGACAGAGACAGAGAGGAAGGTGGGTGGCTGGAGGGTTTTTTTACTCTTTTGACATCCACCGCTTTGTCACCAACGATCTGACACTCTTCTCCTTTTGTTTAAAAAAAAAAAAGAAAGAAAGAAAAAAAAAAACAGGGTTTGGAAAGGTGCATCATGGGAACAGAGGAATTTGATGACAGGAAGCATTTTGAGAGGTGGCCAGAGCTGACATTACACATCCTATTATGCAATGTAGCAAACAGCTGCCAGTGTGGAACAAAACACTCATCTCTTAAAGGTTTTCTTACTAGAAGTAAAACGTCACACCGTCATTCATGTGTTGAGTCAGTTTCCTGAGTGATGAAACTTGATGTTTTTTAGGACACGAGCAGCCAGCAGACTTGCTTATTTACAGAACTAAAATATCCATGTATGGTGAAGGAAATCACTCAGCAGATCGCCACATGGGAAAATCTTTGAAATTTTTACTTCAGTTATTGAAATTATTGCTTATCAAATTAATCGTGCTACTTCTTCCAGAAGAGGTTGAGTGACTGTACGTGGATGTTGGTCAGGGTGCCGAATTGGGAAGTCTGCTGCCTGTGACAGCCACGCCCAGTGCTGATTGATCACAGTGGTGACTGATTCGCTTTACAGACACTTCCCACATATGCATCACACAGACAGGCAAGCCTCTGCAAAGCCTTCCTGGCCACAAAGCACATGAACTCTCTGACATCACAATTCAGAGAAATCTATTGATCAGCACGCTGATTCTGCTGCCGGCAGTCACCACAAATTAAAGAGACACACCACTTTTCTGCTCTTTGCCTCAGAGAACAGGTATGCTCTGCGTCTGTCTCCACTTTATTGGCGAAGGTGAACAAATCGTGAGATCAGAGACTCTGATCTGTGACCTGGCTTGTAGAGTCTGGCCAGGGGAATGTGGGTGTGGGTTGGGAACACAGAGTTTAGGGGTGTGTGAGATGGGAAGTAGGAGGCGGGAGGTTTACAGGCAGATCTGGTGGAACGTGCTGCAGCTCATACCCTTATAAGGGCAAACCTGGACAAATTAGCTGGAGCAGTTAACACCTGAACTCCACCTTCCAGCTACAGAAAAACAAAATGACCAAAAATTAAAGGAGCGCGACGATAAAGTTCACTCAGAGTGATCACTAAGGAATGTATCATGTGATAAAGGTGACAATATGTGAGCTTCATGTAACCTTTGGCAGAGGGCAGCAGACACCTGGGTATGCAAAGACATTAGGATTTCAAGATTAGAAGATATCTTTGTGCGTGGGAGTCAGGTTAAGACTTGTATCGGACTCCAAATATTTTAAGCACTCTCAGACACGCCAGGCTTTTGTGTGTGTGTGTGTTAGTGAATTGCAAAAGAGCCTGGAAAAAAAGCCCTCACCTGTGTAATGTGCTCTTTTTTTGTACTTTTGTACTGTTAAAAAGTTTAAAAGACACTTGAACAGTAAAGAGACACCCAGCATGGACACATATGGCCACTTGGACCCAAAGAGAATTAATTTTCGTTGTAAATTATTATCCACCTAATTATCACATCTTGGTGGTCTGTATCAGTATCCAAACAACAGTGAGTTTAGATAGCTCCAGTTATATTCTACAACAGCAAAAACCTTCAAATAATCAGCTATCGTTTCATTTTATGTTTAAGTACAGTGACCAACATCTTAGATGTTGAAGCAAGTTATGAGGGAGAGACTGAAAGACTGAAAGGCTTCCTGGTTATCTGTACATCAGCAGTAGAGCTGATTGCTGAAGCTTGTGAGGAATTTTTCAGTGCTGCGTGCACACATGCACACGGAGAAGTGTGCACGCGTGTGACAGTTATCCATGCCCTCCTTGGGGCAAAGGACAGAGGTGCAGGCCTGCAGAGGAAGGTGGGGGCTGCTGTGATCCCTCTCAGTCTGCAATTGTGTCTGGTCAGACCTCAACATAACCCATCATCAGTGCTCTGTCAGACAAGGGGAAGTTTACATGAATAAATATCCTTGCTCTCTGCTGGATGATTAGATCAATGAGGGCCATGCAGGCACAGGAATGTGCAGGTTATCACAGGCAAGTGTTTCACCACAAATTCTGACTTGTTTGCGATATGGGCAGAACAAAACAGCCAGGTGAAACTTGCCCGTTTGTTGCATGATGACCTTTATATACCAAAAGCCCCTAAAGGAGCACCAGCAGGAGACAATTACCTACTGATGTTCGAAGCACTTCGGTCTACTGTTCACACCTGACATCAACCCCGCATACCTTTCCTTTACTTCCCCTTTATCTGCTCTCGACCGGTAGCAGCCTGCCGATGACATAATCCAGGAAACCAGAAGCCGAGAGCTTCGTAGAGCAAGAAAGAAACTCGGGGAGAAGTTTTCCAACAGCAGCGAGAGGGGCCGATTATTACCATTTTTGGGCACGCTTGCTCCCATCCAAGCCCAGCCCAAACCAAACCACAGCTTACTCAGATTCCACAGCGTTTTTCTTCCCCCTTTTTCAAAGCAGAGGACAAGTATGGGGAACAGGGAGGGGAAAAGTAGCACCCATTCTCGAAACAGACCATTCATATTCCATTTGGAAAACGAGCAGCAGCTGGGAGACGCGTGTAGAAGATCCGGACTTGTTAAGACGTCTTAAAGCTCTTTATTGAAAATATAAACCGTGTGCAGTTCGGGTTACAGCGCTCATAATCACTCAAAGGGGAAGAAAAGTAGTGTCAGAAGTCAAATGGCTAACTTTCTATCACTGGTAATAACACCGCAAACAACTTCCTAACTAGAAACAAGTACTCCTTTGTTAGTGGCGCTAGAAAATACGTAGAATCCGCGCGTAAAATGGCTAAATAAAGGGGAGTCGGAGGGAATTATGGTGAGTTTACCCCCCTTCTCACACAAATACACTCCATCCCCGGGTTGTTAATCATGGCCTAATCCACGTCGCATCATAAGCCAGATGACAGGAGGGGCCAGGTACACACCATATGCAGTCAAGCGCATGGCTGACATCTGTTGCGCTGAAAAAGTGGCCGTCCCGTCCGCCTTCTAATTGTCCCTCCTCATACGCTTTCCCTCCTGCTTCACGTAAAGTGCTGTTCCTACACACGGTCGCTATACGTCTACAGCTCTGCGGGATATCCGCAAGTCTCTCCGAGATCTGTAGACGAGAAAAGTTTTGGAGCCGTTTTTAAAAGTACCCAAAGAAGCCGCACAGGTGATTTTGGCCGCGATAATGAGCCTGATAATTAAAGCAAGCCACTGCCAGCTGGTTTTTGGGGCTGCCGTTGGTTGTCTGCTGGCTCCAGTAACGGATCGATCTGGAGCCAAAGTCGCCAAGTGCACATCCAAGCGGATGTGTGGCGATAATATTAATGAGCTGTGTTATTAGAGCCTAATTATTATCACAGGCAACAATCCCACTTCCGCACGGGAGACAGAAGGAAGTCAAAGCCCTTACCTTTCTCTGCTGCTTCTCCCATGCAGGATCCAAGAGGAGATCCCGATCCCAGTCATCTTCTTGTTGCATATAGTCATTTTCTTCATCATAGTGTTCCATATTATACATGTGTATATATAAAGCTTTATATATAGACGCTCTCTGCTTGTCTCGTAAGTCCTCCGGTCCTCGGCGAGGTGATGTTTTTTTACAGCAGCTCAGTCTACTCTCCTCCACGCATTCAAGACGGTGTGTGGATGAAATTAACGGTCCACCCCCGGCTTCCCTCTCTCGCTCTCTTTTTCTCTCTCTCCCTCCAACTCTGCCTCTTTTCTTCTTCTTCTATCTGCTCTATTTTTTTCCCCAAGCAGGAGCATTCAGCCCTCAGTAGGCAGGTCTAGTATCGAGGAGCGACGGACGCAAAAACTTTGCCTCAGACAAATTGGAATCGATAGCAGACCCAGGAATCCGATTGGACGCCTCTGGGACTCAGAAACCGCCTCCCCGAAGCAGACTGGCTGCTTGGGCTGTCAGTGGTGAGGCTTTATAACCAAGGTTGACTGCCTGGGTCGAGCCAAATATCTTTCTGCCTGTAATCTGACTAAAACAAGTGTACTTTTTTTATTTCAATTGTTTTATTTAAATAATTAGAGGTAATAATCTTTCCGCAAGTCAAAGTATCAAAGAGTGAAATTAAAAGCTGTGCATTCAAAGTGAAGTAGAGGAAAGTAACCTAGAAACAGGGGCGTTTCTAGATATTTTTCTTTTTCAGCGGTGGGGGCTCCCCAGAAAATATTGAAAACAGAAATAAAATTATGGTAGAAAACAGGCATAGTAAACATGATTTTCGTGCTCATGTGCAGCCCTGTTTCCTGTTTCAGACTTCTTATGTGAAGAGTGGAGCTTCACAAGAAGGCATGTTGGATAATTGTTCTGCTAGGGAGAATTTAATGCATTTAAACTTTAAATGCATTAATGCAAGTAAAACCTATAATCCTACTTCAGTAGCTTAATAATGCACAGGTTGTATAATCCAAATATACTCCCAATATTTAATGTACGTATTATGTCCAGTAACACTTTTCAAAATGATATTATTGGATTATGATAACAGATTCATTGATGCATGTATCTCTTTAATGTTCCAGCTGTTGATGATTTTAATCACTTATTTATTGTTCTGTAGCTTGATCTACAATAAGGCAATTCATCTGCAAAGATACTAACTAACAAGACCTTTAAAATAATGCAATGCGGTAAAAGCAGAAAGTAGCATAATATGGAAAAACCACGTGTCTAAGTAACAGTACTCCAGTCCAGTAGCTTTGGTGGATGGGGCACCAGGGGACCAGTCATATTTTGGTAGGTTGTTTTGCAGAGGGCATTGCAGTTATACCAAATGCCACACTTTATGCAGAATATCATGTACTGGTATTGCTTTAAATGTTTTCATTATTGTTCAGGCAGTAACACATAAGCAGGATATCTTTAAAAATATTTACTACATTTATATTTTAAGCAAACTGGAATTATTTGTGTGACTGTAAAGCAAACATAAAGGAGTGGTTTCAAAGAGGGCTGCATTCATGTTGTGGTGTTGTGTTAAAAATTTCGGTCACTATTGAGATGCTTTCCAACAGTTTTGATATTATCCAGCAGGAACGAAGCTCCTCTTTCAATCTGTTTAGTCATAAGTTGGGATCCAATGACATGAACCAACTCCAACTAAAGTTTGGAGAAAATATTTGACATCCAAGAGGAGGTCATAAGATCGTACAGTCACCTTAAAAATGAAAAGAAGCACAATCCAAGAGAGATCATGCATAAATAATAAAATCATTGCCAAAACTGATGCCTGTTCACACATCACACTTGGAAAATGCAAAGAATGATGCAAAGTGTGAATGAATGATACCAGTCTGACACTCCATGCAAACGTGTTGTAAATTAGTGAGTGTGGACAAAGAAAAAAATGGTCCTACTAAACAGGGACAATTCTGTGGCTCAGAAACACTTCAGAAATTAGCATCTGTGACACAGTTCACTTAGCCATCCACAATTGAGAGTTAAAGAAAGTTGATTTTAGTGACTTTGAATCTGGTATGGTTATTGGACCGAGTTTTTCAGAAACTGCTGATCTACTAAGAGCTGAGCTCACTGCATTCAAATGGCCTTCACAGTCACCAGATCTCAATCCAACAGATCACCTTTGGGAAGTGGCGGAACAGAAACTTCTCATCATGGATGTGCAGCTTACAAATCTGGAGCAACTGTGTGATGCTATCATGTTAACCAAAATTAGAAAGGTGCAGAATGTTTTCTGCACCTTTGTAATTCTATGCCACAAAGAATTAAGTCCATTCTTAAGTCCAACCTGGTATGAGCAAGGTTGGATAACAATGAGATGTAAAAACAACAAAATTAAATCCAACATCATGCTATAAAAAATAATAGATTATTGGACAAGGTGGGTAAGGGGGTTCCTTTTGTCTGAGCCCCAGTGCTGCTAATCTCATAATCCATCCATTTACTACAGTATGAGAGCTGTGAGTAGAAAGATGAGTCACCACAAAGCTCCTGCAAACATGTGAAGAGATGGCCAAGTCTGTCTGCCTTGTAAGGTAAAACCGGCTATATCTTTCTCTGTCACACACACACACACACACACACACACACAGAGGCATACACAATGCAGGAAAGCGGGATAGACCTGACAGTCTGGAGAAAGTGGAGCTCTTCCATATATGGACAACCTTCCAGTGGTAAGTATTTGGAAAAGTGATGTCACAGTCAGAGAGCAGGCTGCCAGCTCACTGCCTGCAGTCCCCAGCCAAAAGGAAGCTGCCTGCCACTGCTCTGCACCTACAAAGGAGCAGAAAGAGGCATGCAGCAGCAGCTCTGTGGCTCAAAGATGGAGGCAGTAGGCTGCAGCTTTTACTAAAGAGTTTGGACTCATACACACTCCCATTAGCTAATTAGCCTACAGCCATTTGAAGAGCAAAGCAATTCATTACATTTACTTTGAATATAATTCCAGAAACAGCTGGCTAAAAGGTGAAACAGTGGTTATTATCTATGTGAACTAACTCTGTTTGATAAGTCATTTGCAGACTAATGATTTAATTAAGAAAGCAGAGCCTGCAGCCACACCGTTTGCATCTTCAGGTCTTGAAGCTAACAGTTATATGCTATCCAATGTTAGTAAGCTGATACTTTATATTTAGCATGTCTGTGTAGGTTCTCAAAGTCAGGGCTAAAATTCAAAGCAACTGGACTTCTTCCCCCACTCCTAAATTTTGGATCACATGAGCCAAGATCTAAATCTTGGGGCATTCAATTTGAATTTAGAAATCCGAAATACCAAGTTCCCAATCAGAATTTTCAACTGGAAACCCCTCCCACTTGAGTTGGAGTTCCAACTCCAAAAGTCAGAGTAATGCTGCCCCACCCCAGACTCCACAACCCAAGATGACAGCAGTGCACATAAACAGCAGTAAAATTCTACAAAGTCTGTACTGCTACTGTTGTATATTACTCACAACACAGACCAGCTGCTATCCATGAGTGTGCTGAAGCACAAACAAGTGTTACACCATATTGTTAGTGATCATGGCTCTAGTGGTGCAGTGGTTAACATGTTCATTTAGCAATCAAAAAGGCATCTACTTCAGTTTCACCCAGAGATGAAAATTCTCTTTAGGGTTGTGTCTGGAAGGGCATCTGGTGTAAAAAGCTACCTTTGTGGAAAGGAAGGAGCTGAAAGTAGCCATCAAGCTGTATTGCTAGTAATGCATAACTGGCTCTGCTTTGCTAAGGAGCAGTCAACGTGCGAATGATGGGGAAAGAGATTTCAAGAGTGCATTATAGGTGGCTGATATTTTGTGTCCTATAGGGCACCACCTCTTTTCAGCGATGGTGTCCTTTCTCCTTTAGGTGCAGATTTAAAGCTCAGTCTTGCTTTGAGGAGCTGTTTCTATGTAAAGGCCCAAACTCTCTTGCACAGCATATGTTTTATTGTTTAGCTTGTTTGTGTATTTTGTCCTTGGGATGAACCAGATTTTGTCCGAGGCTGTTGCTGGGTCTGAAGCACGCCGAATGTGATGTTTGGACAAAATTTTGAGTTTTTCCGACAAACCTGCCACATAAAGAACGCCAGTGTTGTTCCTCCTGCTGTTCTGCTTCTCCCTGGTTAATATCTTTTCCAAGGCCAAGTTTAATAACCACATATTTTAAGTGCTCTCTTAATGTGCTGTGTGTCCCTTTTCTGTCCCTCGTGCCTAAGAGGAAACGCTCTCTGCTCAGCAGTGCGAGGTCATGATAACCAAGTTTTTGTTCCAGTGGGCGGTGGGAGTCCGAGAGTTTTTATAGCTGAAGAAGTCTCTCAGATAAGACGTGAACTAAAAAAAGGAACTCTGGTTGCTTTCAATTAAAGGACCAGAACACACAATGCAGCCAAAATGATGGGAAAGTATATTTTGACCCTGAAGGGAAGTTGAGATTACTTATGACAAGCTTCTCAGTCTCTTTCCAGTTTTATGATGTCCTCCTCTTGTAACATGAACAAGCTTTCCAAACTTTGAGAATGATAGTGAAATCAGCTAAAGTGTGAAAAAAATCCTACCTGGAAAAAAAAAAATAGAGCATTTAAGAGGACATTTGTTATTAATGGATGCTGCTGCTATCAAATTAAATTCATGGAAAAAAGAAAGTAGACATTCTTTAAATTCTATGATTTCACATTTCTCAACGTAATAAGACAAATCATCTTGTCCTTAGCAGGTTTTATAATAGATAAATACAGCCTCGCTGTGTCAATCAAATAAACTTCCTCAGAGAGTGTGAGCTCCTCTATAAAACACAGATGTTTTGGCAGCTTTCTAGTCTGGAGCATCCAGATATGTGTTGTTCTCAAGGTCTTTCCAAACAACTTGAAGTCCACCATTCCACAGCGAAAAAGAATATAAACAAGTGGAAAACATTCAAGACGATTACCAGTCTTCACAGGAGTAGATGTCCCAATTTCACCCCAAGGTCAGACTATGCAACACTGCAAAAAAAACAAAAAAACAAACAAACAAAAAAAAAAAATCCAATCCAAGAGCTACATCTCAGACTCCCCAGGCCTAAGTCAGCATGTTAAATGCTAAACTCCACAAAAGCACAATTAGAAAAAGACTGAACAAGTATGGCTTGTTTGGACAGGATTACCAAGAGAAAGTGTCATCTGTCTAAAAAGAACTGCTTAGATTTGCAAAGCTGCAAGGGATGAAACCACAATACCTCTGCAACAAAATTTTAGACAGATGTGACTGATTTCTGTCCATAATGCACATCACCATGTTTAGTGAAAACCAAAAACATAGCATATTAGCACAAACACCTCAAACCAACTGTCAGCACGGCAGTGGTGGTGTGACGAGTTGGG